GGGAGAGATAAATAATACCTAGCTGGTTTTGAAAACCAGAGACAACCATATTACTCCTACAACCTACTGACAAATTATACATAGCAGGTCAAGAAATATATGTCTAGGTAAGGTTTATGTGAGAACAACTGGTCTTTGCCTAATATTTATCTACATGACACACAGTAGTTAAAAATACCAGACTGGTGGAACTAACCTTCTTGGGTGTTTAACAGACATACTTTGAGGTCTATAATAATTTGGTCAGTGGGACATAAAGGACAAACGACAGTTTTTGCTCCTTGCCCTCCTACGTTGACTAGTTCCAGCGGACTATGAGCATCTCTCGAAATGTCCTATAATGGTGGTGGGTCACCTGTCCTCTTGATCAAGGAGGCCAAGGAGTCCCCACCAGATCGACCTGAACCAGTGTCCAGTCTATAAAGAGGAGGATCAACACAGAGGAATCATTTTCTCCATGCTTCCAAGCGAAGCCAACCATGGTTGAGCAGGGCCTTTGACTTATTTTCACATAGGCCCAACTGGTGAAAGAAAGGAGCCAGGGGCTCCTCCCAAGCCCATGTGACCCCTGAGGAACAGATCCTCAAACAACCTTAAGAGTAAAAATAAATTGGTTTATCTGGACCAACTGTATGGCCTTAAACACCCAAAAGGAAAGTATAACCAAAGATTAAATGGGCCAACATAATTTCTTAAGAGTCCATATGTATGCCTAAAGGCTAAATAACAAGCAACAATGCCAGACATGTGATACCTTCTTTTGAGTTGTTGGCCAGGGTGGCCAAGGTGATTCCCAGATAGTAACCCAGCAGAGAACTGGGAAATTGAACAGCAGACCCTGATCTTATCCAAAGGAATATTGACAACTGAATACGGCTAGATGAGGAACAGCTGACCATCCTAAAACAAAAACCTCTAGATAGGCTGACTAGAGTCACCAGAAGGACAAGTAGTGGGGAATGGCTGGGTGTGCCGACAACACAGCAGACAGTAGCAGGCATATCAGAGTATAAGGGCTCTAGTGGGGGGAGGGAGGCTATGGGAGGATGCTACCTGGGAAGTGGGTCTATAAAATAAAATTCTTCAAAGCATAAAAATTTGCTCCTTAATAACTAGTATTTGAGGAGGAAGCATGGAAATTTATGTCATGCTAATTAGTAGAGGTGATAAACATTATCACTGAAATGTACCCAATGACTTCATAGACATACACAGGCACCAACAATCCAAGTGCAACCGATTATGACTAGTAATAATCAGATGCACACAGATTAGAGATGCATGCACCAACATCTCAGTGTTAGTAGCTAAAACAATGAGTCTTTCTGCAAGGAACAATATATTCTAAAATGAAATGGAGATCTTTTTCAAAGGTTTAAAAACTCATTCAATTTTATGTCTTATAGGGTTTATACAGAGTACAATACTGTATAACTGTATTAACTCAACTATAAACCTAATAATTTACAGCCAATTTTGAGAGAAGCATCTTAGCTCTGTTATTAAATAAAAGAAATGCATCTTAGCTCTGGAAATTGTTATTAAATATGTCAATGCTGTTGTAATGAAATGCCTCTTCTAATCATTTGGTTATGAAATAAATAATTTAAAAAAAATCTTCCTCTTAACTGCATCCAACTCATTGTAAAGTAACCTGCCATAGTATGTCGGGTCTATCTGAGCCATTCAGTGGCTCAGATACATGACAGTGCAGTGCTTGGCAGAATTAGTCTCCTATATCACAGAGCTGAAATAAATAGTGAACCATGAAATAGAATTAGTTATAAGGTCCATAAACTCATCATTCAAATACTCAGATGGTTATGATGCAAATAGTCTAAACCCTGTTTTGCCAAATGCTCATCTAACTAGTACCTTGCCTAGCCCTATAAACTTGGGCTTTCTTCCTCTAGGTTAGCTCATCACTGTTTTGTAGAGATACTTTGTTTAGCTCAGGCTGACCACGGTATGTCTATGAAATAGATTCCCTTACTAGCCTTCATCCCTGCAGGTAAATTCACTACCTTTGACCCACAGGGTCAACGTTTCAATCATGGACGTTTTGTAAAATTGAAGAACACTAGTTTTAAGTTATTTTTCTTGAACATCTAAAGTTAATTAGATCTCTGAACTCCAAACTGATTAAAATTTGCCATTCAAATAACAAAAAATTGTATAGTGATTCTTTGCTGAATAGGTTAAAGTCTGGACAGAAATAAAGGATAAATGGTGACAATAGGTTTTCCACTCCCTCTTACTTTGAGGTGTAAAATGCATTCTAAATTAAGTTTATAAAGTAACTTTATCAAATTAATCTTGATGGATTTTTAAACTTACGGAAAAATAATTCTCAAATACTAAAACAACTTCTAAAATTCTTAAAAAGCTTTGTATGGAATTACTTATGAATACAATGCATGTTTTATTATTTAAAAGTTTATCCATAAACTATGTTAAAAAAAAGTCTCTTAAATTTATTTTTTCCTGTCTCCTTTATCTTATAGTCTATAAATACCAACACACAGATTGAGGTTTTTTCATTCAGATTAACATTTTCTAAACAAAGTCTTGAGTACCTCTGTACTTCTCAAAAAAAAAAAAAATGAGGGGGTTGTTTAATGAAAATACACTACAGAAAACATTTCTGCAAACTTCTAAAATATCTTTTTAAGAACAGCTTTAAAGCCAGGCATAGTGGTGCTTACCTATAACCACAGCACATGGACAGTAGGCAAGAGGACAGTGAATTCAAGGCCAGATTAGTTTACATGGTGATCTGAGGGCTGCCTGTGAGCTACATAACCAGATGCTGTCTCCAAGGAAAAAAAAGTCTATTTTTCCTAAATAAAACAGCTAATGTACATCAAAGCCAATATTACTGGAAAATGTTGTAATTCTAAAACGATGTGTTATTGAGCTTTTCTAACTTTTACAGTAATATGGGTTGCCCTTTCCTTTTTTTAATTTTAAAAAGCACTCGAACAATCGGTTTTGAAGTTGATTTCATAGTTTCCCGGTCTTTGGGCTGAGATCAAGTGTTGAAGTTGATTTTCTTCTGTCAGCATGATCTGTACTTTTCCTTTGTCCTTGTGCAATACTCCATTACAGAAAATAATTAATTTTTTCAAAATCTTCTTATGATGGACTACAATGTTGATCCTTTTGCTGACCAGTTTTTAAACTGTGCTCACTGGAGCCTTGGGGGCCACGTCAAGATCAGCAAGGGTGTTCTTTCTGTGCAGGGGAGACTCTGGCCAGCCCACAACTGCCACTCACCCACTCCAGCTCAGGTTTTACCTATTTTGCATGACTGTACATCTGTGCAGTAGTTCCTCTGATTCAGGTGTTTAGCTGAGAAACAAACAGTCAATAGAAGAGGGACCTGAGATTAACAGATAGACATAATTGTTCTCTCAGTCCCAGGTCAAGTTTCCTTCAGTTATCAAGGTGTATCCCACCTGGGACTAGTACACTTATTTTTTGCTAATTTGTATGTATTAAGACATAAAATAGGGGCTGAAGAGATGGGTCCATGGTTAAGAGCACTGGCTGCTCTTACAGAGGACCCAAGTTCAATTCCCAGCACCCACAGGGCAGCTAAAAACCACCTGTAACTCCAGTTCCATGGTAATCCAATGCCCTTTTCTGACTCCCACAGGCATTACACAACACAGGTGCACTTACACAAGCGCAATACACTCATACACCTAAAATAAAAATAATAATTTTTTTAAAAAGACACAAAATAGTAACAGAGATCTTCTTTTAAAAAGATCTTTTTTAAAAAAGATACAAAATAGTAACAGAGAACTGGGACAAGTCCAGGTGGCTACCATCTTCCTTAAGTAAGATGATACTCCCTCACACTGACCCTTAAGATAATTGTGACACCACTCCAATACCTAGCAAAAACCTGGAACATTCTATACTTGAAAAATATAGATTATTTCTTAGACACAGATATTTTTTAACTTCATTTCCATTTCATCAATTGGGAACACAGGAAAGCTATTCTCTTTTCCAGATTGAGTGAACTACCTGAAAGCCTCTACAACAGAAACATCACTACATTGCATTATTGAGGCCAAAGCAGAAACTATTCTGCTTCTTTGTTTTTAAACAAAGATGCCAGAACCCCAGGAGCTGAAAAACCTGGTGCCCATCAAAAGGAATTTTCCAGTCATTCATCCAGTAAAGCTGTTATGACACAAACACTTCAAGACTCCGTCTTAGGATGCATTTGCAGACAATGAAGCACAGTTGTTAAATTTCTCAAATAATTGGTTATAAATCTCATGCCTCAAGATGTTTTTGACATTTAGAAACAAGAAGTCTGTTCAATTAAGACTGCACAGTATACTAAGTGAGCTGGCGAGCATTAAAAAGTATTCTGCGGAAAAGCATGGCACAGCTATTAATTCAGCATCTTCTGTAACGTAGATGACATCTCACCAAAATAAATGTTCTCTGAAGCTGCAAAGTCACAGCTACTCAGGGGACCAGGAGAGCAGACCCTATGCCCAAGAGCCAGAGCTGTACTTTGTGGTTGGCTACTTTTGTGGAGAACACTACCTGACTGTGGGGGAAAGGAGTCACATACTCTACCCTGCATGGTGAGGTGAAAAAATTAAATTAATGATGTTTTCCTCAGAGACTGGAGGAGCTAGCGCAGACAGGTTGATATTAACCCAGAATGTTTGTGCTTTACACTAACTTTTATCAAAATATATACGTAAAATGTAAAATAATAACGTCCTCATAGGATTTCAGGAAGCAATTAAAACAGTCTACAGGCAGTCATCAGAAATCTCATCACTCTGCACGTTATAAGGACACGAGCTCTCCTACACCAAGGCAGGAGAAGGCAGCCTGCTTGCTCCCTATGCCAAGGTCCTCTTTCGCCTTGCTGTTTAATGCCAGTGAAACACCTCTGCTATGTTCATACATGTACTTCACTGTGGCAGGCTTCTGAATCACACTGCAGGCACTTGGCACTGCCATCTGAGTTCAAAACCAATGTTAGTCGCTTAGCAAAAACTAAGACTGTTCACAGTTAGTGCTTTTGGTTTTGTTTCTGAAATAGGATCCCACTTTGTAGCTCAGGCTGACCTGGAACATACTCTGCAACCCAGACTGGCTGAAACTCATGGCAATCCTGCTTCAGCAGGGTCTGTAGGCATGAACCACCATGCCTGGCTTCATATCCATTTTTTTAATGGCAACATACTTGGTCTTAGTATAATATCAGAACACTAATTACAAAGTGCAGATTCTACTATGCCAAAGTACAAATCCAATGGCATCATTTAAACAGTAATTAGAATTCTCTCTATGCAAATAAACTATCATCGAAAAATTTAGACTAAAAAAAATCATACAATACGACCCAAAGGAGGGGCTAAACAGAGGCTAAAAAGGTAATACCAAAGAAGATAAGACAGGAAGTGGGAAAAGAAAAGAACAACTTTACCTTATTTAGAAATGTAGTATGGTACCTAAAAAACTCACACAGAGATATGGATGGCATTTTGCCCAGTCCAGTGTGTTACAGGACTTTAGTGATGCAAATTGATGCAAATTGTTACTCAGACCTTACTCACACCAGAGGCTCCTGCTTCTTCTATCCCACTGAGAAAACGGTGCTATGATTCTGAGCTCTGTGAGCCTGAAACAGCTTGGCACTCCTGAAGCTTGCTTCCTGAGGGTACTGTAACAAAAAAACTGCAAATAGTGTGCCTTAGGACAAGAATCCACTCTCTCATTCTGGGGACTGCAAGTCTAAATCAAAGGGTGAACAGGTCCTAGTTCCTTCTGAGGGCCTTGGGGAAGATCCATTCCTGGGCATTCCCTAGCTTCTAGTGAATGCTAGCAATTTTTCATTTGCTTTGGTTTGAAGATGAATCACTCCATCCCCACCTGTGTCATCACATGGCATTTTCCTCATCTCAATCTCTTCTATTGTATCAGACACCACAAGTCAAGGTGGATTTAGGACCCCACCTACCACAGTATGACCTTATTATAACTTGATTGCATCAGCAGACTCTCTTTTCAACTATCACATGCACAGATGCCAGGACTTAGAACATGAACACACTTTGGCATGAGAGAAAATCCAACCCATTAAATATATAAAGTAACTTACCAATAAACCTATTAAGATCAGTATAGAAAGACTACATACCATAGGACCACACGAAAGGGAGGCATGTAGTCAAGAGGTACCTGAGGACTGACACTACTTTTGCTATAAACGATAATGAAATATGAACACAAAAATTAAATAAATTTGAAGATAGGGTAGAAAATTCTATTCACAGACCTAAGTGCTTTACAAGCTTGATAAATGATCAGACCCACAAGAAGTTAAAATAACTCACATCTCCTAAGAGGTTTTAAAAGTGAGGCCAGAGTTTCCATTTTTTTCAAGGCCCTCAAACTAGGTTTGGAAAGTGAGAGTACTGTATAGAGGTAGGGATCAAGATCTTTAACAGGATGCCCAATTGGTAATTGGTACAATCCTCATAGTTACTGAAAGGTTTCAAATGGGGTTCAAGAGGGACACTGAGATGAATTACAGGGGTTTAAGAAGTTAGTCAGAAAAGTTACTAACAAATACAGAGAGACAGCAGCATGCTGGGGCTCCAAGGAGAATTTAGGGCCCAGTACCAAACACAGACAGCATGGTGGGGGCCCTGAAGAGAGAAAACCAGGGCCCATGTGGCCAAAGTAGGAATCTCTTACACTTTTCTGAGGATAGGAGAGGATTTATAGCACCAGCCTGAAACCAGGCTCTCTGATTTCCAGGGTAGAAGTAAAGAAGGGGGTAGGAAACAGGATGTAAGACGTTCCTTGACATAAACTCACTTCCCAGGTGAGAGATACTGACACCACGAAGTCTATTAGCTAGGGACACACAGCCATGTCTCAGGAGGGGGCCTGTCCATATCTGTGAGAGGAAAAGGCTGCTGGAGATACTGTAGCCTGAGCAGCAGATGGATACTAACATCACATTCTTACAGCTGCTAAGCTGTACAGCTAACACATACTTACATCACCCTAAAAATCAGTAGTATACTAAGAGTAAATACCAGACAAGTTGTGTGTTAGTCATATCCTAGTGGTGTGTGAAATGTAAATACAATGAACACAATTTTCCCTGTGATACAAAGTGAAATTCTGAATAGAACTAGCAAGAACTTTGAGTCTTTCCCTCACTTATTCTAGAGGTATGATATCAAACACATTCCTAGAAAGCCTAAGTGCTAGATAGCATAAAGTGTTTTTTGAGAGAGGTGCATAGGAGCCATATACAAATAAATACAAATTGGGGGTGAATATGTTCAAAATAAATTGTATGTATGTATGTATGTATGCAATTCTCAAAGAATAAATTTTAAAATACATAAAATTTAAAATTTTTAAATTAAAAAAAGATAAAATGAAAAAGTATTTGTCTGGTGGACTGATGGCATGTGTCCCTCAATAAGCAAAAATACTGCATGAATTTTATGTACTAAGAAACAATCCAAGCATGTCACTATTTCCAGAATTTTGGAATTCAAATTTTTTCTTAATTTTATGTATTTTCTAAAATTATTTATTTAATAACCATATGATTAGAAGAAGCAGTTCATTACAGCATTAACATATTCAATAAAAATTTTCAAAGCAAAAATGCATCTCTTTCAAAATTGACTGTAAATTTTTAGGTTAACAGTTGAAATAATACAGTTATACAATATTGAAATCAGTACAAACCCTATAAGACATAAAATTGAATGAGGTTTTAACCTTTAAAAAAGATCTCCACTTCATTTTAAAATACACTGTTTCATATAGAAAAACTCATTTTTAATGCTACTAACACATAGATGTTTGCACATGTGTCTCCAATCTGTATGTATCTGATTATTACTAGTCACAGTTGGTTACATTCTGAGATCCTTGGCACCTGAACCTGGATATAAAATCATCAGGTAGATTTCAGTGGTAATGCATTTCATCTCTACTACTTAACATGAAGCAAATTTTTATGCTTCTTCCTCAAATATAACTCATTATTTTATTTGTTGATTTTTTTTGTTTGTATTTCATACACAGCATACCAAACAATCTTATTCATCTATACACCCACATACCAAATGGCACCTTCCCACCCCACCCCACTGGAGCCCATATACTCAGTAATCCCTGTTACTGTCCACTATGTTGTCGGCGCCCCCCAGCCATTCTCCAGTGCTTGACAATCTGCTGAATCTAGTCAGCCTATCAAAAGTTCCTTGTTTTAGGAAGACCAGCTTTTCCTCATCTAGCAGCAATCAGTTGCCAATATTCCTTTAGATAAGATTAGGGTCTGCTGTTCATTTTCCCAGTTCTATGCTGGGTTACTGTCTGGGAGTCTCTTGCGCCACCCTGGACAACAACTCAAAGGAAGGTGTCTCCTGTCTGCCATTGTTTCTTCTTATGTAGCCTTTAGCTATACACATGGACTCTTAAAGAATTATATTGATCCCTTTAATCTTTGGTTATACTTTCTTTTTGGGTGTTTAAGACCATACAGTTAGCCCAGATAAACCAATTTATTTTAACTCTTAAGGTTGTATGAGAATCTGTTGCTCCGAGGTCACATGGACTAGGGAGGATCCCCTGGCTCCTTTCTTTTACCAGTTCCATCTATGTAAAGATAAGTCAAACGTCCTCTTCGACCTTGGCAGGCTTCACTTGGAAGCATGAAGGAAATGTGTCCTCTGTGTTGACCCTCCTCTTTGTAGACTGGACACTGGTTCAAGTCCATCTGGTGGGGTCTCCTTGGCCTCCTTGATCAAGAGGACAGGTGACTCACCAGACTTACAGGATATTTTGAGAGATGCTGATAGTCCCCTGGAGCTTAGTCAACCTAGGAGGGCAAGGAGCAAAAACTGTCCTTTATGTCCCTCTGGCCAGATTACCATAGGCTTCAAAGTATGGCTGTTAGACATCCAAGAAGGTTAGTTCCACCAGTCTGATACTTTTAATTACCATGTACTATGTAGATAAAGATTGTGCAAAGACCAAATGTTCTCAGATAAACCTTGCCAGACATGCATTATATTCCTTGAGCTAGTTGTATGTATAATTTGTCAGTAGGTTGTTCAATTAATATGGTTCCCTCTTTTTTTTTTTTTTTTTTTAAAAAAACTAGCTGGGCATTGTTTATCTCTCTCATTGTCTAACCCTTCCACCATGGTTTCCCCATTTAAAGAACCTCCATATTCCCCATTTCTCCCTTGATAAATACCCATCTCCTATGGTCCCATTTCTCTTGAGCTTCCTCTTTTCCTTTATTCCCAAGGTTCGTTGTATAACCCTCACTCCTCCCATTTAAATAACACTATTTTTAACCATATCTCCATTAGTAACACCTCTTTCCTACTGTTCTTCTCTTTCAGGTTCTTCTTTTTCCTTTACCTTCTTGGTTCCTTTTCATTATCCTGGTTCCTGTAGTTATGTCTGGATACATACTCACTTAGAAGGATTTGGTGCTAGGATCCACATATGAGGGAGAACATGTTGTTTGTTTTTCTGAGTCTGTTTACTTCACTTAGTGTAACAGTTTCTACTTCCATCCATTTACCTGAATTTCATGATTTCATCATTTTTGACTGCTGAGTAAAACTCCATGGTATAAATAAACCACATTTTCATTATCTACTTGTCAGTTGAGGGATACTTGGTTTGCTTCCATCTCTTAGATATTGTGAAAAGAGCAGCAACAAACATGGATGTATAACTATCACTGCAATAGGATGAGTTCTTTAGGTATATGCCAAGGAGTGGTATAACTGGGTCAAATAGTAAGTTCATTTTTAGTTTGTTTTTTTTGAATATTTAAATATTTATTATTTTTATTTTATGTGTATGAGTGTATTGCCTGCATGTATGTGAGTGCACCCATGTCGTGCAATGATGCAGAAGTCAGAAGAGGGATTTGGATTCCCCTGGAGCTGGAGTTAAAGACA